GACCAGTGCAGACTCAACGGGCTGAGGGGCCTTTCTCTGTGCTATAGATCTCTGTGATTCTATGGAAGACAAACACCAGCATGGACAGGTTGGGTCGAATGGCCTGTTTCCATGTTATCTATGTCATTTTCTAACACCCTAATTTAAATTAACTGAACGTTGCTCGATGATGATTGACTCCTGGGTCAATTCCACGTCCAAGCATTGTCTTTCAGTATCTAAGCACAGACTGTATAAATGCTGGAACATAAACAATTAACATCAAGGCAACACCAGGCAATGGTACAGTCTGTCATTTTATTCTTGGGTCATTGAATATATTGCATAAAGATGCCTCGTTTCTAACATGACCATGACTGCTCACTAACTTTTTAATCTAATCACGAATCAAATTGTCTTTGGAATTGGGTTATCCTTTCCTGTCCTTTCTCACAATGACCTGGAAGATCTATAAGGAGAGTATGAAGCAGCTTTAGAGAGAAAAAGAATCATAATTAACTGAAAAAGTTAGCACAAAAGCACAGATCTATTTGATTTCCTGCCTTTAGTCTGTCTTCTCACATTCTACTAAAATCAGCCAGAAATTGAACCATACTGGCCTGTGACAGGCAGGAATAGATATTTATAGAGGTGCATTAAACAATAATGAAGCTGGGCTTTTATATGATCCACATCAGTACTGCAGGGATGACAATCAGTTAATATTCTGAACAACTCCAAAGTGAGACCTTGTAAAATATTCCATTTGCAGGATAAAATTTATTTCCTCTTACTATTAGGATTTATCGACAGTTGTTCTATTTAGAGAACTCCAGTATTGATTTCAATACTGGGTTCTATTTTCTTTTGAATGAAAAAAGATTACTAAATGTCAGAAGTAATTTCTTCAACCTCATTTCCATTGATTAGCGGGTGCCATCTATTGGTCCATTGGCATTTTGATTAGGCCATGTTAATTCAATTCCAGACAGGCATTGTAGCCAGACGTAGCACAGGTAAATTTAAAAATTAATGCCGGTTTCTTTTATTGCAAATCTGTCTTTTTCATTTTTGTTTCTTTACCTTGCACCAGTCTGTCTCAGAATGCACCTGCCCCATTTAAATGGCACACAGTTCCGCCTGTTTTGGCTAGCACAGACTCAATGGGCCAAAGGGCCTTTCACTGTGTGGTAAGCCCTCTGTAACTCTAAAGCAATGCATCTCCAGCCAATGCACTGGAACAGGAAGTCAGTGCTGCTGACATCATCATTCTGCACGAAATATTGCACTGGAACAGGAAGTTGATCCTGCCAATGTCATTGGTGTTTGGCTGATGCTTTTTCCATTCATTCACAGGATGATGGTATTGCTGGGTAAGTCAGCCTTTACTGCTCATCCCTAATTGCCCAGAGAACAGTTGAGTGCCAACCACATTGCTATAGGTCTGGAGTCACATGTAGTCCAGACCAGATAAAGTTGGTAGTTTCATTAGTGAACCAGATGGGGTTTTCCAACAATTGAGAATGACATCATTAAACTCTTAATTCCAGATTTTTTAAATTGAATTCAAATTTCACCATCTGCCATGGCAGGATTCAAACCTGGGTCCATAGATATTACCTGGGTCACTGGGTTAACAGCCCAGCAATGATATCGCTAGGCCATTGTCTCCCACTTGTCACCATGTTCTCTGCTTCACTCACTATCCCTGCTGCCTTTGCCATTGCGTTTGCTGCAAGCCTCCACTACTCTTGCCATCTTTTCTGCTGCTGGGTTGGGTGCCCAGCTCACTGTCTGGCTCACCGCTTCGCTCAGTGAGTGAGATGAGAAAATCACGGAGACAGCATGTGCCATGAGTGCACAAAATGGGGTGGCAGTGCCAGCAAACACAGCTTTGACAAAACAGCAAGCTGCTCCCAGAATTCCAGAAAACATCTCAACTTCTTTTTATCACATGCCTTTACAGCCTATGGATTGTTCTTCAACTAGAAACATCTACCTTCTTTCCATCATGGAAAGAGATTGTGACCCAACCATCTTCAGATGAGCTTTTATCAGAGCAGCCTTCACTCTCCATTAGTCAGTGAGCAATTTGACTTTAAGTATTAGACTCGCATCTTACTAAATGATATTCATGCAGTGCAAAGCTTTCAAAATCCTTGATGTGATGACTGTAGATTATCACACAGTTGCAGAGGAGCATCAGGTTCACTGCCAATTACAAGTCAGGATTGGTCTTGATTTTCACTCCGTGCTCCATGTCCATTTCCTGAACAAAAACTCTGTCATGTCAATTATCGGTAATTTTTCAAAAAAGGTTTTAACTTTCAACAAGGTGAGGATGCCAGCTCTGTGAAATCGAATCTCTCGCATTTCCACTGTAACAGCAGAGACAAAAACAGAAGTTGCTGGAAAAGCTCAGCAGGTCTGGCAGCATCCGTGAAGAAAAAACTGAGTTAACATTTTGGGTCCGGTGACCCCTTCCTCAGAAAAGCAGAGAAGCTAGGCCACAATCCACGATGGCAACAACTTCCCACTCCCGCTCTTCCTTGACGTATTCTGAACGTGAAGTCAGAGCCAGATTCTTCTGTGTTTGAAATGGGCATTAGATCCCGATAATATGCTAATCAGATGCCTAATACCCAGCTCAGGACCTCACAGCTAGATTTTGAATGACAGTATGTGCACTTTGCTCAGTTCCATACGATCCAACCAGTCACCAAGAAAAGGGAAGTAAAATTGTTTCAGCCCAGACTATCATGGATACCAACCTTCCAACCGTTGACTCCATTTATACTTCTCATTGCCATAGAAAGGCAGCCAACATCATTAAAGAACCCTCCCACCCCAGTTATAATCTCTTCCAACGTCTTCCGTCAGGCAGAAGATACAAAAGCTTAAACACACGTACCAACAGGTTCAAGACCAGCTTCTTCCCCACTGTTATTAGATCCTGAATGGACCTCTCAAATCTCAAATCTAATGTTGATCTTGCTTTTTGTGCACCTTCTTTGCAGCTGTAAATTTGTTTTCCTCACTCTGTCCTATCACCCTATGATCTGTGTGTGATCTGCCTGTACTGCACGCAAAACAAAACTTTTCACTGTACTTAGGTACAAGTGATAATAATAAATTAAATGATATCAAATCATGTGTAGCCAAGAGAGGGAGGAATACTCGAAGATCCACACAAACACTGCAAGTTCCCCTCACCCCATCACCTAGCTTCTCCCATCTGACCCCTCCATGCACCCGTCCCAAATCTCAGAGAGGGTAGAACTTCCAAAAGGTCTGCTTGTTTTGACGACAAAACAAAGCTTGACCAAGTCAGAAGGTTTTGCACCATAAGACATAGGGGCAGAAAGTAGGCCATTCAGCCCATCAAGTCTGCTCCACCATTGAATGGAATCATGGCTGATCTGATAATTCTCAACTCCACCTTGCTGCCTTTTCCTCCAGCCTTTGATTCCCTTGCACGTTAAGAGGCACTTAAGTCTCACTCCAAGATGTGTGCACACAATCTATGTTCAGGCCCAGCTGCTGCTCTAAAGGAATGTTGGAAGTACAGTCCTTCAGATGAAGTTAGGAACGTCATCTCACTGTTCACATGGTTATAAAATATCAAATAGCTTTACTTGGGTACAGAGCAGGGTGTTCCTATATTTGTCTGCACAATGACTTTAAGATATCCTAAGTAGAAGATATAGTGGTATTTGTTATTCAAGACTGGGATGTGGGCGTCTCTGTCTGGGCCAGCATTTATTGCCTATGCTTATTTATCCTCGAGAAGGAACCAGTGAGCTACCTTCTTGAACCGCTATAGATAGACCCATATTGTTGTTAGGGAGACAATTCTAGGATTTTGACTTATCGACATGAAGGAATGATGATGCATTCCCAAGTCAGGATGGTGAGTGGCTCGGAGGGGAACTTGCAGCTGATGGTGTTCCCACATATCTGCTGTCCTTGTCCTTCTAGACGGGAGAAGGCATGGGCTTGGAAGATACTGTCTCAGGTGATTCTTGGAATATAAGACTTGGTGTATAAATGTGAGTTCCTTTATTCCTGTCTCTTTCATCTTATCTTCAAGCCCCTTCCCTTTCGAGAAACATGCTTTTGTTACCATTAAAGTGTATTAAAGTAACTCTTTCCCTGGCTCTCTCACCACATGGTCAAAAAGTTCTGTCTGATACCCTCTCCTATTATGATTATACAACAGCATTCTGCATTCCAAAAAGTGATTTGTTATCTCCGAAATGGCGTTGAAAGATTTTACATTTGATGATGTAAATAAATTTGAGCAAAACCTGCAAGTGTTACCTAACAAAAGGTATTTTGGATGGAACTCTACCTCTCAAAACTCCTTGTGACTCGTCAAAAGGTTTTTTGTCAAAAAAGTTGCTCAGCATTAGAAGCCATTCCTGCTTTGGAAAGAACAGTCAGTATTCCTGATTCCTTAGCTAAAGCATTTTTTGTCAGCACATTTAAGTTGTTTGAAAATCTAAAAAGCTATGTGATCACAGTTTTGTTTTTGCTGACTGTGTCCAAGTCCAATTGGACACTCATTCCTTACAAGGACAGATGGCTTGATCTTCAAGTTCTGTTGATTGGGTTTTCTGGGCCAACAGATCAGTGATTGGTCTGACAGCATTTGTGTTTCACACTAAGATGCCAGCCACTCAGCTCATAAACAACCAATTTACCTGTCAAGGAGCATGCAAATTCAAAAGACCCACAAACTATTAGTTACTGGGAAAGCCTGATTGCACAGAGCGCTGAGAAAAATTCTGAAACCAATTCAAATGTCATTTGGTATATATTAAAGAACCTACATTTACAAAGCACCTCTTCACAATCTTAGGACAACCCAAATTGCTTTGTAGCCAATGAAGCCCTTTCGAAGTGTAGTCGCAGTTAGAAATATGAGAAATTCTTACCAATATTTCAACAATCTTAGTGATAATGAGGTAAAGCTCCTGAGGCATAATAGAAGCTTCCTTGAAAAAGAATTTTCATAAAACCGTCTTATTTGTTGTGTACCTCTGAGGGACAGTTCCTGGAGGATAGTCTGGAGGCGCTGAAGATCGGCCGGCGAAACTTCGTATTTATCTACGTCTATCACCGTGACTAGCTGACACCTCCCGAATATTCCATCTGCAAAACAACATGAAGATTCCTGAATAATTATTTGAAAGTCTGAAAAGCTGTCAACACGAATGTTGCTGCGAAAACACATGCTGGGGGTAGTAGACGGAAACACATTCACTCCAGCACACAAACTTCACAATCTCTTGGCATGCAGAGATGGACCTTTCCTGTGATGGTCTACAATCTCTTCTACAATCAGAGAAAGAAAGAACAAAGTCATGATAGCACTTCACGGTGACATTGCTGTGCTACACTATGTTTGCACGAGACATTAAACATGACCAGAATCATTAAGCAGCTACAGGTCCAAGGGCAGCCCTTCAGGCTGTGGTGTTTGTGCCAGCTCTCTCTCTAGAAGAACAACTCAGTTGGCTTCACCAAACCTCCTCCTGCCCTTTCTCCACAGACCTGTAAAAGATTTTCACAGCAGGCAATTATCCAATTCTCATCTGAAGGTCTGAATTCAATCTGCCCCAACCACACTTTCGTGCACTGAATTCCAAATTTTTTTTCTTTATTCATTCATGGGATGAGGGCATCGCTGACCAGGCAGCATTTATTGCCCATCCCTAATTGCTCAGAGGGCAGTTAAAAGTCATCCACATTGCTGTGGGTCTGGAGTCACAAGTAGGCCAGACCAGGTAAGGATGGCAGTTTCCTTTCCTAAAGGACATTAGTGAACCAGATGGGTTTTTCCCCACAATTGACAATGGATTCGCAGTCACCATTAGATTGTTAATTCCAGATATTTACTGAACTCAAATTCCACCAAATGCTGTGGCAGGATTCAAACACAGATTCCCAGAACATCACCTGGGTCTCTGGGTTAACAGTCCAGCGATAATACCACTAGGCTATTCATTGCCTTCCCTATAATTCTAACTACACACTCCGTAAGAAGGTTTATTTCCCTTCTTGTTACCGTTGCATCTTTTGCCACACACTTTTGGTCAGTGCCCTCTGGTTTCAGATCCTTTTACCAACAGAAATGATGTCTCCTTCCCGAGTCGGTCTGGAGCTCCTCATGACTTTGAAAACCTTTAATGGATATCCTCTTCATCATCCATTCTCCAAGGATCAAACATTAATCATATAAAATTGAATTAGCCATCGAGTATATGGATTACTTGATTATCAACGTGCTCGTGACAAAGTCAAATACAAGTCAGTTGTGAATTTCTTGCTTCATGATCCACAACCAAGGACAGTACTGGGATGTAAATTGTGTTTCATTGCTCCATCTCATCTTCCTTAACTGAACTGCATTCTTGAGTCAAAGTTCACACCAATGAAAGACTGTAAACACTGGAAATCAGAAACAAGAGAAAATACCAGAATGTTCAGTGGGTCAGGCAACATATACGGAGAGACAAAGTTAACACATCAGGTCAATGTTGTTGTACTGGTTTATTATAAAACAACGTGAATAGCTATTCAAAATGATGGATGCACGATTGAGAAAACTACGAGGTGCAGTATGAAGTAAAGCAGAAATAGTGCTGTTGGAGGTGTGCAGCAGACTAACTGTGTGCAACAACACAGTATCGAAAAATTCTGAGCAAAAGGAAAAGACCTGCATTCATTTGCAGAATTTCATAATCTCAGAATACAGGGGGTCCCCAATTTACAACGTTAAAATGCTCATACTTACAAATGTGATCGCATACAAGAGTGTAAATACAGAGATCTGACATATGACCGTTTCTTCTAATTATGAAAGGCTCCGTAAACCCATAAGAAATGAGAACAGGCATACACCCTTCAGCTCCTCGAGCCTGTACCACCATTCAATAGGATCGTGGCTGATCTGACATTCCTCACATCCACTTTCCAGCTATTTCCCCATAACCCGTCATTCCTCGATTGATCAAGAATCTATCTATCTCAGCCTTAAATATACACAAGGACTCTGCCCCCACAGCTCTCTGTGGCAAAGAGTTCCAAAGACTAACAAGCCTCTGAGAAAAGAAATTCCTCCTCGTCTCAGTCTTAAATTGGTGCCCCTTTATTCTGAGGATGATGCCGTCTGGTCCTAGACTCTTCCATGAGGGCAAATGCTCACTCAGCATTTACCTTGTCAAGTCCCTAAAAAAATCCTACATGTTTCAAAGAGATCACCTCTCATTCTTCTGAACTCCAGTGAGTAGAGTCCCAAGCTGTTTATCCTTTACAAATGAGACAATTCCTCCATAACAAGGATCATCCTAATGAACCTTCCCTGAACTGCCTCCAATGAAATGATACCTTAGATAAGGGCTACTCCAGATGTGGTCTCACCAGCACATTCTATCGTTGCAATAACACTTCCCTTCTCTTATACTCCAACCTCCTTGAAATAAGGGCCAATTAGCCTTCCTGCTTACCTGCTACACCTTCATACTAGCTTTCAATGTTTTGTACTCAAGTACCCTCAAGTCCCTTTGCATCTGCTTGCTTATTGTCATTGCTGTTAATCTATCCACTCAATTCGGCTAATGCTATCCCCATCTCATTGATATTCTCTTTATTTAAATTAAACACAGTTGTTCCCGATCCAAGTTTCTCACTCTCATACTGAATATTAAGTTCTATTGTGATATGAACACTACTTGCAAGGGCAGCTTTTACTTGAAAGTCATTTATTAAACCTACCTCATTGCCTGCTACCAGATCCAAGACAGCATGCTCTCTGATTGGCTCCTTTGCATTGTCCTCTGGCTTGCATACAAATCACCTTGCAGTTAGACTCCAGAGTGGGACCCATCTGCAATGTGTGGATTGCCTGTATCCCAATGGACTTTGCAACCCATGAAGCATTTTTGAAGTCACATCGTCATTGTTATATAGGTACAGTGATTGTCAATCTGTATTCAGCAAGCTCCAAGGCACAATAGCATAGCGTCACTGCCCAGGTAACCTTAGACTTAGAACCCCCACAGTGTGGAAACAGGCCCTTCGGCCCAACAAGTCCACACCAACCCTCAGAGCATCCCACCCTGACCCATACTGCTATAACCCATCTAATCTACACATCCCTGAACACTATGGGCAATTTAGCATGGCCAATCCACCTAACCTGCATATCTTAGGCCTGTGGGAGAAAATCCACGCAGACACGGGGAGAACGTGCAAACTCCACACAGACAGTCACCCGAGGGTGGAATCGAACCCGGGTCCCTGATGCTGTAAAAGGCAGCAGTGCTAACCACTGAGCCACCATTGTGCCGCCCCAATGTTTATATGATTTTGTTTGAGGAATAAATATTGGCTTGTGAAACACTAATGATAGGAAAGCGATTATATTTGATGAAGACTATAAGAAGCCTGCAGCTTGGATTGTATTCCAGCTGAGGCAATCAAAGCTGCTCTTACACCACATCGACAGGAGACTGCCAGGTTGAGAGGGCTCCCCGCTAGGTCCATGCTGAGGCCAAAAGTCTGAGTCCGCGCTGAGGCAAGGAGATCATGATGTCATCGAGGAAAAAGAGAGACAGAGAAAAACACGAGGGAGGAAAAAAAGGAAAAGAAACGGACAGAGTGGATGACCTCCCGCTGAAGCATCCTACTCAGCTGCCATCTTGGATCTTGGCTGTTCACCACCACCTTCCGAAGAGCAAACAGGGGTGGGCAATGAATGGTGGCTGAGGGCAGTGATCCACACATCCCATGAATGAATAAAAGAACTGCCAGTGGGCTTTTCCTCAAATCAAGTCCACAGGCACTTATCCTACAGATAGACCCACCCCTTTTTCCCAATACCCTCATCACCAACCCAATCACCTCCTCCCCCCGCCACCTCCCCCCAACTGCCACCCTCCACTTGAGCAGTTCACGACCAAATGTAAAAGACATGGACAATATCCAGGCTTGAGCTGATGAATGGCACATAATACTCATGCTACACAAATACCAGATAGTGTCCATCTCCAACAAGAAAGAATCTGATCATTGGCATTTGACATCCAACGTTATCACCATCACTGAATCCTCCACTATCCCTCAGGGTTACCATTGACTAGGAACGGGATTGGACTAAACATATACAGTGGTTACAAGAGCAGGTCAGAGGCTAGGAATCTTGCAGCAAGTAACTCACATGCTGACTCTACAAAGCCTGTCTGTTGTCAACAAGGCACAAGTCAATTATGTGATGGAATACTCCCCAGCTGCTTCCCCCTTGGATGAGTCCTCCACACTTCAACAACATTCCAGAAGCTCGACACCATCCAGGACAAAGCAGCCCATTTGATTGGCACTACGTCCACAAGGGGTGGCACAGTGGTTAGCACTGCTGTCTCACAGCGCCAGGGGCCCGGGTTCGATTCCACCCTCTGGCGACTATCTGTGCGGAACTTGCACATTGTCCGTGTGGATTTCCTCCGGTTGCTCTGGTTTCCTCCCACAGTCCAAAGGTGTGCAGGCCAGGTGGATTGGTTAAACTAAATTGCCCATAGTGTTCAGGAATGTGTAGGTTAGGTGGGTTATAGGTGGATGGGTCAGGGTCGGTGTGGACTTGTTGGGCTGAAGGGCCTGTTTCCACACTGTAGGGATTCTATTCTAAGTATCCGCTCCCAACACCACTGTTGCTCAGTAGCAGCAGTGTGTACTATCTACAAGATTCACTAAGGCTCCTTGGACAGCACCTTCCAAATCCACAACTGCTTCCATCCCGAGAACAGCAGATACACAGGAACACCAACCACCTGTGAGTTCCCCTTCAAGTCACTCACCATCCTGAATTGGAAATATACTGCTGTTCCTTCAGCGAGGCTCAGTCAAGATCCTGGAACTCCCTCCCTAACAGCACTGTGGAGGTACCTACTTCAAAGCAGCTCCAGAAGGTAGCTCACCACCACCTCCTCAAGGGCAGTGATGGATGGTCAAGAAATGCTCTCCCAGCCAGCAACATCATTTCCAGCAAGTGAATAACAAAAAAACGTGCTCGCTGACCTGTCACTGCAATGCAGAAATGTGACAACTGTAACCAGCTCGAGAACGGAGATAAATCACGCCATGGAAACATTCCAGACATTTCCCTCTTCTCCATAGCAGGGACAATTCTGACATACATTCTCCTGAATCACCTACTTCCTATGTCTGAGGAAATCCTCAAAGAAAAGCAAGCTTTTGGTTTACCATACAGGAAGGATGTTATTAAACTAGGAAGGGTGCAAAAAAGATTTACAAAGGTCTTACCAAGACTAGAGGCTTTGAGTTACAAGGAGACGTTGAATAGGCTGGGGCTATTTTCCTGGAGCATCGGAGGCTGATGGGTGACCTTATAGAGGTTTATAAAATAATTAGGGATATGGATAGGTTGAATAGCAAAGGTCTTTTTCCCCAAGGCAAGTCCAAAACTAAAGGGCATAGGTTTAGGGTAAGAGGGGAAAGATTTAAAAGGGGCATCTTTTTCACACAGAGCGTGGTGTGTCTATGGAACAAGCTGCCAGAGGAAGTGGTAGAGGCAGGTACAATTGTAACATTTAAAAGACACTTGGACAGGTACTTGACTAGGAATGGTTTAGAGGGATATGGGCCAAATGCAGGCAAATGGGACTAGTTCAGTTTAGGAAACCTGGTTGTCATGAACAACTTGGGTCAAAAAGGCCTGTTTCTGTGCTGTATGATTCCATACCTCTATGTTTTAATGATCTGTCAATGTAATTCATCGAGAGTTTCTTTCTGTGAGGCCTAGCAAGTTTTCTCACACTGTTGTCCCAAACCCATCTTAATAATTATCAACCTCACACCTATGACGCCCCTCCCATCGGATGCCAGCCGGATACACGCATTCGCTCTAGCCAGTTCTTGTCACTACTGGGATATCCCAGAATTCCTGGTGCTGGCACCACCTCCAAAAGGCCACTGTGCAACAGGGCAATGCTGTAACCCTAACCCCACACCTGCTCAGATGACCCTTTATCCAGCTTCAATTTGGCAGCACATATTGGCAAGCATTTCACTGCAGTCGGCACAGTGGGTCAAGGAAGAAATTCTACAAGTCGCTGGCACTCCAAGGCCTGCCAAAGTGAAGGCAGCTGCTCAGTCCCAGGCAGCCATGGTGGTGTCTGCAGTCAGGGACGCCACAAGAGCTCTGGGGCGGCACAGTGGCTCAGTGGTTAGCACTGCTGCCTCACAGCGCCAGGGACCTGGGTTCGATTTCACCCTCGGGCGACTGTCTGTGTGGAGTCTGCACATT